CATGATATACGTGGTAAAAAATGCACAAAAACACGCTGTGCCTATGGGAAAAGCGCATAAGAAAATGCGCGTTTACAGGTCGACCGAGCCACCAACAAGGATCAGAAGTCGTGCTTGTCATAGTCGCGGCTAAAGATATGTTGATTGTGCAGTGAATGGTAGTGATGCAGGAGAGGATGAAGACTATTATGAATATGCAATAATATGCAGAACATGAAACTGATTATTGATGACATATGACATATATATAATAATTACATATACTATATCTGAATGTCAGACTATATTAATTATACGATTGTGATGACTGTGATTTATTTTCGTTATCATTCTCATGTTTGGGATCATGGATCACGAGGCTGCTTGTGGTGCCGAGGTTTGGCGGATGATCTCAGGCGTTTTGTATTTGGTTGACCCTGGGGGAGATGGATCAAGTCTTGAATCAGTGGTGCCTTCGGTGACGACTAACACTTTGCGACATAGAAAATGGATGAAAATGGCATTTATATATAAAAACCTATGGAAAAACATGGTTTTTAAACATGGCCACTTCGCCACTTCGGTCGCTAGTTCGGGTTTTGACTTCTCAAAAAATAGCCAATCGCCCCAGGAGTCAAGTGCAAAAATCTCAGAAGCTGCTTGAGGCATTGGAGGCTCCTGGGGATGGTGTTAAAGTCCCGGTCTACCACAAAAATTGGGGCCTATCCATGGCCATGGAGGTAGCCCAATAGCTGGATGGTTCCCCAAAATGGATGGATGGAGAATCTTATGAACAAATGGATGATGACTAGGTGTATCCCGATTTGAGGAAACTCCCATTAATGTCACTGTCACGAAAATAGCTGAACTTTTATTCATGAGTAGCAGTAGTAGGAGTGTGGAGACTACTACATTTTGGGGATGGTTTATGGCATTGGGTTACCACCTAAGAAGAAACAACTTATTTCGCAGGGTATCTAAATTGGCCATGGAACATCATCAGCTCCACAGACTCAGCATTTTTCAGTCGAGGGTTTCCTGCCTGGCCACGCAATGTTAACAACATGTTCCCAATGGTTTACGGACTTTTACCAGGTACATCTCAAAGTCAAAGAGTTCGGCAATGGCACCAGACCATGTGTGCATCACGACAAGTCCCTTTTTTTCCGGCTGGACCAGCTGCCCCCGTCGGTTGCAGGCTATAGAACTGCCTTTGGACGAAGAAAGGGACTGTTGGGAGGCCTGCAGCTGGGAGGATGAAGCAGCAGGAGCACCGTGGTGTTGGATAGCTCTCGTCCTCAACCTCAATCGATAGATTATAAAGCCCAAGAATTGGATCGTTTGATATGGAGTTCAATACCATCATGTTTTGATATGTTTTGGGGGTCCATGGAAATCCATGGAAATCCAATTCTTGAAGATGTTTGACCGATCCCTTTTTTTGAGAAGGTCAGACCAAACTGGTGGTTGCCAAGCGCCAGGTTGTGGACGATCATGACACCAATGAGGCGTTCCTTTTTGGCGCTGAGCATTCACAGGACAGCCAGTTCGTACCCAGGAAACATCAAATGGGTTTCTCTGAATTTGGGGAATTTCCAGAGAGAAAATGATGATCATCAAATTTGTGGTACGCGCTGTTCAGACAAATCAGCCAAAGCCATTTTCACCCAGGGGCCAATCCCAAGCTAAAAACGCCTCTGCATCGCTTAGATACCACATTTTGGTATCTGTGGATTTTTTTGGCTCCACATCCAGAGATGGGACTTTCTTTCAAGCATCTAAAACAGTGATTTTCATCTTGGCATATGGGTTTGTCTGAAAATAGGGTATATTCCCAATGAAATAGCCATTTAATAGGGATAATGATCAGCAAAACCATTGGGTTTAGGGGTACACTATTTTCAGACTATTCAAGGCTTGGTGTATCGGCTGAAGCTCTGGCTTGCCTGGCACCCAACTGGGCAAACTGGACTTGCCAGGAGCGCGAATCCTCTGGCTGGGATGCAGGCCCCGTCGTCCTATGTGGTAAACATCAAGTGTTTCAGATTTAGAGAGCCCCGGTAACAGGTAACATTGCGTCAAAATTGGCGCTGATGCATTCCTTTGGTTTACCACCTTCTTTATATATAATATAGTATATAATATATATTATATAATATATATTATATAATATATAATATATAATATATAATATATAATATATAATTATATAATATATAATATATAATATATAATATATAATATTATATATATATGCCTTTCAATCTGTGGATCCCTATTCTCGAGGCCTTAAGAATCTCTTCAATGGCTTCGCAGCCAGAGCCGTGGGATCTAGTCGGTTGCTCAAATGGGGGGCCGCCGATATGCCGTTTTTGATTGCAAGTTCCATGGTGAACATTTCTTTGTTATTTTCTGTATGGTTTTGATAAGTTTAATTCTGCATTCCGCGGGGGGGTGATTATTCCTTTGCCCTTTGCCCTTGGTATGTTTGAAGTGATATCAAGATTAAATTACCCTCTGGTAAACTAACATAACTATGGAAAATCACCATTTCTAATAGGAAAACTCACTATAAATAGCCATTTTCAATAGCTATGTTAAATTACCAGAGGGTAAATGCCACAGGTTTTCAAGAAAATGAAGTGAGTCTCCCTCCGCCAGTTGGAGATTTTGAAGGTCGGTTTCACTGAGCAGGTGCAAGCACTGGAGACAGCGGAGATGATCCTTTCCTCTTGGAGGGTTTGGAGGCAGGTCGATTCTAGAAGACTTGCTGGTGGTTTCATATTTGGTCAAGAAATGAGACCTGCTGGAAGCAGAATCCAAGACAGTTGAATTGAATGTCATTGGGTAAAAATATGTAAAAATCCCATGAAGCAAAACAAGGATGGATATTCACGAAGATGTTGTATCCCCGGTGTTGTTCATATAATTTATTTTTTTTTGATATTTTCGGGTTTCGCACCTGAGTTTGCCCGTAAACCGGGCAATTGCAGCACACCTTGAACTTCACCGGTTCATCATCATTCTTCTGTTGAAATGGCGGTGGATTTGCGAGATTTTACTACCAGACACCGCTGGTGTCGCTCCCCAGGCTCCTTCGCAGAGGGCTCCGAAGGTGCAGGCTTCAGAGATTTGGGCAGCTACTGGGATTAGACCTCAGCACTAGGATTGGTTCAATGATTTCCCAATGGGATATCCACGATTTCAGGGGACTCCAGGAGAATAGAAGAGGAATAGCTTTTGGAGCCTCTATATATTTGACCAGTAAATCCATGGTTTCCTTTAGATTTTCCAATTAGAAGCACAATCAATTCGCAAATGAGATGAACCAAAATTCATTGGCCTGTTGTGCCACATCTTCCATTTGAGGCAGCCCCAGACTGCGCTAAGAACCAAGGCGCCAAACCTGAATTCCAGCAGAGATCGGCAGAGAGTGGTCGGGCAATTCTGTTTCAACTGGCCGTACCTATGGTTGTTTTGCAGTGTCAAGGTGTAGCCTAGCTGTCAGGCTGTATCCTGACTGCAATGGCAAAGTGTTTGCGCAAGCTTATGATGATGTTAAACCATACAAAACCATACAAAACCCAAGGCCCAAGATGTATCATGTCTTGAGTGTTCTTGTTGTCCCATAGTGTCCCATATAAAAAATGGCGCCTGCAATGGCTATTTTGCCTCAGGCTCCCCGGACACAGATCCAGCGGAGAATGAGAAGGAGGTGGGCTCTCAAGTGATGAATTGCTGGATATTCTCCTTAGTCATCTTGGTGTTGGGAATATCTGACAAAGATTGACAAAGTATATCAAGGTTAAGACCCAAGCATACCAAAACCATTGGAGCAAGTTGGAAGGCTTGTGCAAACTTCTGACAGGTTTGTGGCACTCCGCTGGCTGCAGGTGCCTGAACTGAGCCGAGACAAGATATGTGTGTTCAGGGCAGAATATGTATATGTATATATATATATATATATTATATATATATGTATATATATATATATTATATATATATACACCACGTCATGGGAACAATTATAGTTAGAATGATGCTTCCTAAAAAAATCCGTCATATTCCCATGGTATTCCCATTATATTCCCATTATATGCTATATAATTATCCATATTATGTATCCAGGTCCATATTTATCCATCAATATTTCCTATGGCAGTTGTTGGGCAACTTCGATACCTTCCTTGCCGCAGGCGTCGACACAGTCGACATAGAGCGGTCCCCGCCTTTGGAGCAGGTGGGCTATGGCAATCAAACATGGCTGGGAAATCGCCGAACTGAACATCAAAAATGGAGGTTTGATTGGGAAAATCATGGGAAATCTCTGTCATCGGAGATTTTCATGGGAGTTTTTCTTATCTATAAATGGGGAGTTTCCATGGGAATTTACCATTGCATCCCATGGACCATTTCGTAGCGCCTGGGGCGATGTGGATTTTTCAATGGCCTCCGATGACAGGTACATGGCCATCCGCCGACCGCAGGTGCCCCAGGCCACCAGAGGGATTGCCTCTGGGGATTGCCTCTGGGGAAATCCCCGAACGAAACAGTGGAATATAATGGTGATATGGTAAATAATGATTTGATATCATGTATATATATATCATATATAGCTAGGATTGGCTGGTCCCATCTTTTAAAGGACCAGTCATTCATAACAGTATAATATTTTACATAATTTTCAACATAAATTTATACATAATTTTTGATAAATACTAGATATTAGGAAGTAAATAGAAAATAATATTAACATAATTTTCATAATAAATCATTATAAAAGTTAAGGGCGCTTTGCCCATCCGCGGTATGATGCACCCCGCAGCCAACAAATCCATCAAAAACACCCAGAAAAAACACAAAAACCAATTACCACAGCAAAGCCATGCCCAACCAACTCAACACTTGACGTTTAGGAGCAGGTCATTAAGTATCACAGCTCATGCAGCATGAACTCTCCTCGATGTAGCATTGGTCTTTTTGGGTTGGCTTTGTTGCGTGAAAACGCTTGTATTCCAGCCATGTCGCCAAAGAAGGTTGCAAAGCCTGCGATGAAAAAGGCGAAGGCGAAGCCGCTGAAAGCCATGAAGAAGCCTGCGGCGGCATCGGGTCCGCATACAAAGGGGCGAAGTGAGTTTAGCGGTGCAGTGTGTGATGAAGCCAAAAAGCACCCATTGGGAGGGTTGGCGCTGGGCGACCTAGCGCATGCCGGAGCTCCTGCTTCAGAGGGGCTGCAAGATGTCTGGAAAAATGCCTTGCGGGACACTTACCAGAAGTACCACAAGGGCACTGTACTTGCATGGGTTTCACCAGACTGTTTGAAAGGCGCGCCCAGCTGCTGGCATTTGTTCAGGCAGGTCCATAAAGCATATGACCACAACAACCAGCCAAAAGACGCCGACACCAACATGGTCGCATTTTTGCCTGTGAAGAAGTTCTCAGAAGTGTTTCCAAAGCCAGTCGAGAGTGAGGAACCCTACGATGCATATGTCTTTTGCCGTGGTGATGATGCTAGGGAAGCAGTGCAGGCTTTTGTCGCCGCAGATGGTGTGAAGTACGACCTGAAGGTTAAGGAGGGCATGTGCAGCATCGGGAAGTTCATTACCATCACCCAAGCATACCCCACGGAGTTGGAGCAGGCAGCCAAAGATTTGAAGAAGGTTGAGTTCAACCATGACGAGGCAAGCCAACTCCGGTTGGTAGGACGGAACGGCTTCCCCAAAGATGCAACATACAACTGCATCACCAAGAACGACATCAAGGACGAGGTCAAGAAGCTGGCGAACATGCGGAATGTGAAGGTGAGCCTTCGTGAGGCACCTGACTGGTGCATTGATGGCACAGAGAAGTACATCAAGGTGTCCGTCAAAGGACCGGTGCATTGGTTCAGTTTGAGGATGCGAGCATGCCGAATTCTCAGGCACCGACACCTAGGTGGCTTGCCAAATGGTGGAGAAGATTGCGAGCCTGAGTCGCAAGACCTGAGCGAGTCTGAGGTGGAGAACTTGCGGCAAGCTCCTTTGGCTTGGACCCTGTCCAGCAAATGTTTGAAGGAAGGTTCGTGACCAGCGTCCTGTTTCACTCAAAGCAACGGTGTGCGAAAAAAGGAATATAGAACGTCGGCGTGATTTGATGTCGCAATAGTTAGAGTATGTTAGAGTATAGGGCTTGCCTGGCTTATTTTTTCAAAGGTTTTCTTTTGAAATAGTCTGCCTGGTTGTCATTTTTCTGGCGTGTTTCTTTTTTTCTGGTGTATTCTTGTATATTTTTCTGTCAGGGTTTGAGGCTTTGGGCTCAAAATTTGGGACTTGGGGGCACTTGGGATAAAATAACAGAAAATAATATAAATTGTAAAAGTTGCAGTTTAACACACATCAGGGAGCAAGACTTTATGAAAGTGTATGACCTACATGACTATGATAAATTTTATCTTCAATTAAAGTTCTTTTTAAAATACAGTAAGGAACCGCAACTGTCTAATTAGCAGTGTTCTATAACTCACTACAATGAGAATATGGATAAACTATTTAAGAATGAAGAACTCATACAAAGGTTTGGAGAAGGGTTTAAAGATGTTAAAAAATATAGAGCGTTTGCTAAAAAGAACAGAGAAATGTTCATATGGATTGACCACAACATTTTTAGGATTGAAACCATACAAGAGATATTGAAAGAATGGGGTGTATCAAAGGCTAAATATTTTAAATATTATGGTAAAAAACATTCTGTTGTATTATTAATTTGCTTAATCTTATGGGAAATGATTTGTTCAAGAATTGGAAAAGAAAATATCAAATACATAGATGAAGAAGAAATAGGTAAATATGTTGATAATATTATGGAAGATTATTTACCTAAGAAATGACATAATTTTAATAATGAAATATTATTAAAATATGTATCTTAAACTACTTAAAGGAATATTAATATTAAATAGTAGGGTAAATATGGCACGTGATAAAACCTTCTTTATGAAATTTGTTATTGAGAATCCTTATCCAAAGTATGAGGAGGTAATCAAAATAATTAAAAATGAAGACCACAGAATGTATGTAGATATGTTCGCTGAATATGGCAAGAAAAACCACAAATGGATGAAAGAAATCTATGAAAATATACTGGAAAAAGAGATTGTTAAAAAAATGATGAGCTGATTAATGAGAGAGGAGATAAAACAGCAATGGTATACAACTACTATACAATACTATCTGTTGTAAATCATTTCCTGAGAAAAGCAAAGCATAAGATGAAAGAAGATGATATAATTTTCATTCAATATAATTTTAAAGATATCATTAGTAGCTACTGGGATGGTATAGGTGATTGGAGACATTAAGGTAACCATAATTGAAATAATATTATTTTTGTTTAAAAAAAAACTTAAACTACTTAAAGGGAAAATATCTATATATAGTAGGTTAAATATGATGTGTAGTAAATGCAAAGAAATTAAAAATGTCAGTGCGTTTCAAGGATACAAGACTTGTAATATGTGCAGAGAAACAGCTAGGAAATATAAAGACAAATATTTTTTGTGGTATGGGTATTCTGTGGGGGCTTATGAAAAATCTAGACATCTGAAAACAGAATATCACAAAGACAGATTAAGAAGAAAAGAGCACCCAGAAGAATATGAAAATGAAGAGGAACCTTGTTTCAAAACAAAAGGTGATAATGATAGAATCTATTTTGGATGTAGATTTTGCAATAAGACTCTTCTTTGCTCACAATGGCAAAAGCACACAACATCACCTGAACATTTAGAAAATAAATTTAAACCAAAAACTTTAACAAATCCAAATTTGTTAGATAATCAGTATCAATTAACTGAATGTTTTTTATGTTGTGATGAGTAAAAATTAATCCCTAGTTTTCATAATATATTATTATGAAAATTATGTTATAATTCGTTTCTATTTACTTCCTAATATCTAGGATATAGTAAAAATTATGTATAAATTTATGTAGAAAAATTATGTGAAATGTTATACTGTTATGAATGGTTGGTCCTTTAAAAGATGGGACCAGCCAATCCTAGCTTGTATATATATATATATATATCATATATATATATCATATATATATATATATATATCATATATATATATATCAGTATCTTGATATGGTATATAATATCATATATATATACTGTATACATATATGATGATATAATGATGATACCATAATTATATATCATTATACCATATAATGATGATATGAGATAATGGTATATATATAGGATGATATAATGACATAATATGGTATATGATGATATGTTGATGCATGGAGATAGAAAAAGGAAACTATAAATGATAAATAAATATATATATAATGGGATAATATTAATATAAACTCAAGGCCATAAACCTATCATGTGGGGATGAGTAATTTATCGCACTAGAAATTGTGATGACTTGGGATGGTTTATGACATTGGGTTTAGTCATATTATATATTGATATATATAATATATATATATTGTATAGGTAACTTACTTTTTTTTCGAGTTTTCACCCACAGCATGACAATTCACTGCATCAATCTTGGGTAAGCCACTTTGAATCGAGGACAAATGTAGTTGATTAGCTGATCTATTGTATCCACGTTCATACTGAAAGATAGCACAAACTTTCAGACGTTACATTGATTTGCGCCCTTAAAAAACATCTTATGCGTTCTCTGATTGAAGCATGTGGTGGTTTTGCACTTTGTCTCAGGCTCGCCAGACTCAGATCATCCAGGGACCCCTGAGAAGGAGGTGGGTTCGTCTCAAAGAATGCCATCCACTGAATGAATTTTGCAAGCTGATTCTTTGGCATGTTTTGGCTGTATTTTCTTTGTAGCGGAATTTGTAGCGGTGTTTTTTCAGACAAGATGAAAGAAGGATCGGAACATATCGGAACCGCTCAGAAGTGTCTGACAGGTCTGCGAAAAGAATGACATCCACAGGTGCGCTTTTGAAACCTGGGGCCCATGTTTAAACTGTAGACTTTGTAGTCGAAATCCGCATCAAGGTGGGTTATTTCAAGACTCTCGGAACATATCGGAACCGCTCAGAAGTGTCTGACAGGTCTGCGAAAATTTGCTGACTGCAGGTGCGCTCTGAAACCGGGGGCCCCAAACGAGGTCGAAATCCGCATCAACAATGGGTTAAAAGCTCTGGTGTCAACGAGCTCTCCATTTAGCAGCCCACAATGTGGCACGGGTTGCCCAATGGTTGTTTTGGATATGTTGAATATTTCAAGCTTGTCCAGCCCATGTTATTTTATGGGTATCTTATTTTAGATTTGCAATTTACGGGCGGTGTTAAGCCTAGTAGTTCTCTACTTTCGCGCATTCCAAACCAGAATTCAATCATGCCTGACAAATTTCTGCTAGAACCCAGATTTGAGAAGGTTCAAAGTTCAAACATGTGAAAACAGTTTCTGGAATTATGCCTTCAAGATGCTTTCAAGATGAATCGAGATGCTTTGGCAGTAAGCATGTGGTGGTTTTTGACTTTGTCTCAGGCTCGCCAGACTCAGATCATCCAGAGACCCCTGAGAAGGAGGTGGGTTCGCCTCAAAGAAAACCATCCACTGAATGAATTTTGCAAGCTGATTCTTTGGCATGTTTTGGCTGTATTTTCTTTGTAGCGGAATTTGTAGCGGTGTTTTTTCAGACAAGATGAAAGAAGGATCGGAACATATCGGAACCGCTCAGAAGTGTCTGACAGGTCTGCGAAAATTTGCTGACTGCAGGTGCGCTCTGAAACCGGGGGCCCCAAACGAGGTCGAAATCCGCATCAACAATGGGTTAAAAGCTCTGGTGTCAACGAGCTCTCCATTTAGCAGCCCACAATGTTGCACGGGTTGCCCAATGGTTGTTTTGGATATGTTGAATATTTCAAGCTTGTCCAGCCCATGTTATTTTATGGGTATCTTATTTTAGATTTGCAATTTACGGGCGGTGTTAAGCCTAGTAGTTCTCTACTTTCGCGCATTCCAAACCAGAATTCAATCATGCCTGACAAATTTCTGCTAGAACCCAGATTTGAGAAGGTTCAAAGTTCAAACATGTGAAAACAGTTTCTGGAATTATGCCTTCAAGATGCTTTCAAGATGAATCGAGATGCTTTGGCAGTAAGCATGTGGTGGTTTTTGACTTTGTCTCAGGCTCGCCAGACTCAGATCATCCAGAGACCCCTGAGAAGGAGGTGGGCTCGTCTCAAAGAAAACCATCCACTGAATGAATTTTGCAAGCTGATTCTTTGGCATGTTTTGGCTGTATTTTCTTTGTAGCGGAATTTGTAGCGGTGTTTTTTCAGACAAGATGAAAGAAGGATCGGAACATATCGGAACCGCTCAGAAGTGTCTGACAGGTCTGCGAAAATTTGCTGACTGCAGGTGCGCTCTGAAACCGGGGGCCCCAAACGAGGTCGAAATCCGCATCAACAATGGGTTAAAAGCTCTGGTGTCAACGAGCTCTCCATTTAGCAGCCCACAATGTTGCACGGGTTGCCCAATGGTTGTTTTGGATATGTTGAATATTTCAAGCTTGTCCAGCCCATGTTATTTTATGGGTATCTTATTTTAGATTTGCAATTTACGGGCGTTGTTAAGCCTAGTAGTTCTCTACTTTCGCGCATTCCAACCCAGAATTCAATCATGCCTGACAAATTTCTGCTAGAACCCAAATTTGAGAAGGTTCAAAGTTCAAACATGTGAAAACAGTTTCTGGAATTATGCCTTCAAGATGCTTTCAAGATGAATCGAGATGCTTTGGCAGTAAGCATGTGGTGGTTTTTGACTTTGTCTCAGGCTCGCCAGACTCAGATCATCCAGAGACCCCTGAGAAGGAGGTGGGCTCGTCTCAAAGAAAGCCATCCACTGAATGAATTTTGCAAGCTGATTCTTTGGCATGTTTTGGCTGTATTTTCTTTGTAGCGGTGTTTTTTCAGACAAGATGAAAGAAGGATCGGAACATATCGGAACCACTCAGGAGGTGCCTTACACATTGTACAAGATCACAAGGTCTTGCGAGATCTTACGAGTATCCGAGTATCTTCTGACAGGTCTGCAGCGATTTGCTGACTGCAGGTGCTCTCCGAAACTGGTGGGTGATGCAATATGGTGCAAACACTTTTCTATCTGTAAGAGACTCATTTGAATCACATTGAATCACAATGACAATATTTCAGATAATTACACTATTACAGAATTACAGTGGTTGAAAATTCCATCAATGGCTTCAAACCACTTCAAGTGATGAAGTTGGATGCAGCAACAGTGCTTTCCTCAATACCAACAAACACTTTTAGTGAGAACAGTTGAAGAAAGGCAATGGTGTCAACACATGTCAACACACATTCTATGTAGCAGCCCACAATGTTGCACGGGCTGCCTAATAGTTCTGCTTGATGTGTTGAGTTCCGAGCTTGTTTAGTCAATGTCATTCGATGTGAATCTTGATTTATCGGATTGTGCGTTTGCAATTTTGGGGAGTTATTAAGCCATATTAAGCCTAAGAGTTCTCTACTTTCGAAAAGTGCAAAAGAGAATTCAATCATGCCTCAGGAATTTCTGCTAGAACCATCTAGAACCCAGATTTGAGAAGGTTCAAACATGTGAAAACAGTTTTTGGATGTTTTTGGAATTATGATGAATTATGCCTTCAAGATGCTTTCAAGATGAATCGAGATGCTTTGGCAATAAGCATGTGGTGGTTTTTTGACTTTGTCTCAGGCACGCCAGACTCAGATCCTCCGGAGATCCTTGAGAAGAAGGTTGGCTCACTGTCCCAAAGGCAAACCATACCTGGAGAGAATTTGCAAGCTGGTTCTTTTGGCATGTTTTGGCTGTATTTTCTTGTAGCGGTGTCTTGGAGACAAGATGAAAGAAGGGTCGGAACATATCGGAACCACTCAGAAGTGCCTTACACATCGTACAAGATCACAAGGTCTGACGAGATCTTAGGAGTATCCGAGTATCTTCTGACAGGTCTGCAGCGATTTGCTGACTGCAGGTGCTCTCCGAAACTGGTGGGGTGATGCAATATGGTGCAAACACTTTTCTATCTGTAAGAGACTCATTTGAATCACATTGAATCACAATGACAATATTTCAGATAATTACACTATTACAGAATTACAGTGGTTGAAAATTCCATCAATGGCTTCAAACCACTTCAAGTGATGAAGTTGGATGCAGCAACAGTGCTTTCCTCAATACCAACAAACACGACGTGAGAACAGTTGAAGAAAGGACATGGTGTCAACACATGTCAACACACATTCTATGTAGCAGCCCACAATGTTGCACGGGCTGCCTGATAGTTGTGCTTGATGTGTTGAGTTCCGAGCTTGTTTAGTCTATGTCATTCGATGTGAATCTTATTTTATCGGATTGTGCGTTTGCAATTTTGGGGAGTTATTAAGCCTAAGGCCTAAGAGTTCTCTACTTTCGAAAAGTGCAAAAGAGAATTCAATCATGCCTCAGGAATTTCTGCTAGAACCATCTAGAACCCAGATTTGAGAAGGTTCAAACATGTGAAAACAGTTTTTGGAATTATGCCTTCAAGATGCTTTCAAGATGAATCGAGATGCTTTGGCAGTAAGCATGTGGTGTTTTTTTGACTTTGTCTCAGGCACGCCAGACTCAGATCATCCAGAGACCCCTGAGAAGGAGGTGGGCTCACTGTCCCAAAGGCAAACCATACCTGGAAAGAATTTTGCAAGCTGATTCTTTTGGCATGTTTTGGCTGTATTTTCTTGTAGCGGTGTCTTGGAGACAAGATGAAAGAAGGATCGGAACATATCGGAACCACTCAGAAGTGCCTTACACATCGTACAAGATCACAAGGTCTTACGAGATCTTAGGAGTATCCGAGTATCTTCTGACAGGTCTGCAGCGATTTGCTGACTGCAGGTGCTCTCCGAAACTGGTGGGGTGATGCAATATGGTGCAAACACTTTTCTATGGTGCAAACACTTTTCTATCTGTAAGAGACTCATTTGAATCACATTGAATCACAATGACAATATTTCAGATAATTACACTATTACAGAATTACAGTGGTTGAAAATTCCATCAATGGCTTCAAACCACTTCAAGTGATGAAGTTGGATGCAGCAACAGTGCTTTCCTCAATACCAACAAACACGACGTGAGAACAGTTGAAGAAAGGACATGGTGTCAACACATGTCAACACACATTCTATGTAGCAGCCCACAATGTTGCACGGGCTGCCTGATAGTTGTGCTTGATGTGCTGAGTTCCGAGCTTGTTTAGTCAATGTCATTCGATGTGGATCTTATTTTATCGGATTGTGCGTTTGCAATTTTAGGGAGTTATTAAGCCATATTAAGCCTAAGAGTTCTCTACTTTCGAAAAGTGCAAAAGAGAATTCAATCATGCCTCAGGAATTTCTGCTAGAACCATCTAGAACCCAGATTTGAGAAGGTTCAAACATGTGAAAACAGTTTTTGGAATTATGCCTTCAAGATGCTTTCAAGATGAATCGAGATGCTTTGGCAGTAAGCATGTGGTGGTTTTTTGACTTTGTCTCAGGCACGCCAGACTCAGATCCTGCGGAGATCCTTGAGAAGAAGGTTGGCTCACTGTCCCAAAGGAAAACCATACCTGGAAAGAATTTGCAAGCTGATTCTTTTGGCATGGTTTGGCTGTATTTTCTTGTAGCGGTGTCTTGGAGACAAGATGAAAGAAGGGTCGGAACATATCGGAACCACTCAGAAGTGCCTTACACATCGTACAAGATCACAAGGTCTTACGAGATCTTAGGAGTATCCGAGTATC